AGTCCCATTGACTCTCTGTGTCTGTGCTTTGGAGAGGTGAATGGCTGGATGCAACAAAACTTCCTGCAATTAAATAAAGACAACAGTGAGATAGTTCTGTTTCAGAACAAAGAAGGAAGGTTGCAACTTAGAGCCTGCCTGGAGTCTAGAGCACTAAAGACATGTTAAAAATCTCAACATCAAAACTATGACTAAATCTGCATTTTGGCATCTCAAACACGTAGCTATGGAGAGACTATGTGTCTAACCAAGACTTAAAAAAATGTATTCATGCATTTATATCCTCCAGAGTTACATTGCATTTATTAATTTGGCAGATGCTTTTATCCAAAGCGACTTACAAGTGAAGGACATCAGTAAGCTTCAGTGCAGTAGGAAAACTTAGTGTAAGTATTAAGTACTACATCTATTTAATAAGTGCAAGGAGAATGTATAAGGAAGTGCAGTAAAGTGCATAGTAAGTGCCAGTTAGACATATTATGGTTTTAGGAAAGGAGGTGCTCTCAGAAAAGATGAGTTTTCAAGTTATTCCTCAAGACAGAGAGGGGCACCCCTGCACTGACGAAATTCAGTACCTCATTCCATCATCAGGGAACATCAGATGATAACAGACTGGACTGAGACTGTCTTGTATGCAGTGATGGCAGAGCCAGATGACATTACTTGGAGAAATGCAGTGTCCAAGAAGGAGCATGAGGCTGTACACCCAGAATTCACTGTGAAGGCAGCATTAGTGACTTGAATCTGATTCGGGCGGCCATGGGTAGCCAGTGTCGCTCGATGAGTAGGCTGATCAAAGACCAGACAGGGTGCTGCATTCTGGACCAACTGCAAGGGTTTCACTGTCCACAAAGGAAGGCCTGCCAGAAGCATTGCAGTAGTCCAGGTGAGAGATGACCATGACCTGAACCAAGAGCTGGGTGGCATACTGAGTCAGTTAATGCAACATGGTTTGAGAAGGAGAGCTGGTCATCAAACATTACACCCAGTTTTCTATTGAACTTAGTTCGGGTAAGGGATTGAGAGAGACTGATTGGCCAGGATGACTAGGAGTTCAGTCTTAGATAGGTTTAATTGAAAGTGGCATTCCTTCATCCATGTGGCTATGTCAGAGAAAGAGAGAGGCCGAGATCCGCACAGGAACAGTAGGGTCGTTTGGTAGGAGTTGACTATCACAATGCTCTCCTCACTGGTTTACCAAATAAGACTATTAGACAGATTCAGCTTATTCAGATGCTGCTGCAAGGTTCTATATAAACCCAAAACAAGACGACATATTACTCCAGTTGTCAGGTCTTTGCACTGGCATCCAGTCAGATACAGATTTGAGTTATTGTCTACTTGTCACTAAATGGTTTGGGCCATAAATATTCTGGAATGTTTGATGTAGGCCTACTGTATATTAACCAAATAGGTCTTGATTTAGGTCTTACCTCTTCTACGAAAGCCTTTCCTCTTACAATGTTAGTAACAGTTTGTAAGATGGCTGTAAAAGTGGACTGGTGAGATCTTTCAACGTTTAATGTCCCTGACAACCTATAGTCTTATTTAGACCCTTGTTAGCAACCAGCCTTTTTTAACAGATGTAAAAGCTTAAAGAAATCAGGACTGGAGTATTTACTGACATATTATATGTTGTAGAATAAAATGTGTAAATGTCTTGAGATTGTGTTAACCACACACCTTATTTCAGTTATCTGTTCGTCACCAGACGCTGGCACTGGAGGAGAATCACTGTGGATTTATTGAACTTCGGTAAATTTGGTTTATTTTATTTTGTCATTCAAACTTTTATCATGAGATTTTATTATTGTACATTCTAGTGTGGCATTGCAACATTGTTTTTTAGTGTGGGATGAGACTGTGAAGTTAGCCAGCTGCAATCTTCTCCCATACTGAACAAGTTTCTAGCTAACCATGTCACTTTAGTGTTCATAGTAAGTGCCTAACCTGTTAAAAAATTTACAGTAAATTACAAATCGTATTTTTTTCTGAGAGAAAAAAAAACATTATTTCATACTAAAATAATTGGTAAATCTTGTTGCTTTTGTCAAGTTATTTCAATTAAAATGTAACATTTTTTGTGTTTCAATAGCTAACCAGTTTTGTCTTACTTGTCTTTGTGTGTGTGTTTTTTTTTATTACAGTGTGTGACTGGAGTTTCGCCACCACTGAGGGGTGCAATATTGTTGCTTGCTTGTGCAGAGGCAAGTTGATTTCTCTCAGTACTTCTGTGTTATAATTAAATCAGGTGTGCATTGTACAAGTTGAAGCTAAAAGTTGCAGGACAGGAGGAATTTAAAGACTGGGTTGAGCGCATTAGAGTTTTCTCTATTAGTATATGCATTGACTATTATTAACAGGTTTCTGGTCAGGATCAACCCTGTGGATGGCAAAAAGTGCTCTGCCAGACAGGGAGGGTGGTGCAGAGGAAGGTGATGGCTGTCAAACCACAAACTGAGGGCCAGTGGAAGGCAGCCAGTGGCCTGTTGGCCACCACCCACATGCCCTTCATTGTTGTCAAACACGAAAACAAAATGTTAATGAAATGACATTATGGGAGGGAGCACGGCTTCCTTTACTCACAGCACACACACGACTTGCTCTAAACACACATTCCCCCACACTGCACACAGAGCTAGTCTTACTAGCGTTTAAGGCACGCTATACTGACCACCCCACACGGCTAAGCTTAAGCATAAGGCAATATTTGACATGCTGGCACCCTCCGCTAGGAGGCACGATAGGTAAGCCATACTGCCCAACCCACGACTCGTCACTTCCCCTTTAAATCAGTCCTCCCACTCCACACTATTAAAACTACAAAAATGGCCGACCATACAATACATATACATAAATAATCAACGCAAGGAAATAAGGATAAAGTTCGTAAAATATACTTAACTCGCCTACACGGCGAGACCCTCCCCCGGGGTCTGAGCTTGTGCCGCCGTCCAACTCCCCGGGGAAACGGCTTCGCTGGACGGCGAGACAGAAACCGGTTGGCAGCCGGATAAAAGCGGAAACAATACACCAGGTAGCACACAGGGAGCAGTAGCAGCACAACACTCTCTAAAGTGGGCCCTAGTTTAGCTACAGGAGGCACTCAGCCTCCCCTCCTAACACAGGGACAGCTTACCCCTGGCTACCTGTCTTCGTCGCCGGCAGCTCTATATAACTGTGAACGACACCCTTGCAATCAGAGTGCCGTGCCGCCAAACGTGTTGCTCCAACCCCGTCATGCTCCCTCTGCCCGTCTTTTCACTGTTCGTCTCTCCTCCTCGTGCCATCAGTCACAGCTGCAACAAATCATTCATTACACACAGGAGTCCCCTCTCCTGATGTCACTCACTGGGGGGAATCCCCCTCAATCTCGCTACAATATTAAGTTTATAAGTAAAAAATAATAGTATGATTATTATTAATAGTAATTTATATAATTCATAATGATCAGCAGTAATATATACATAACTGTAGATATTGCAGTACAATGCTGTATAATAAAATACAGTAACTTGCTGGCAACCGTGCTGCCAGAAGAAAATTGTAAACAGCTGTGCATTGGCTTGCCACCTGTCCCAGTTTTCCAGGGACTGTTCTCTGTTTTGAGCAACTGTCCTGGAAAATTTATATTCTTTCCTGGGACACGAATTATCCTGGTTTTTGTGAAATTACACTTCTAATTTAAAATTCATAGTTCATAGTTTCAAAGAAAAACTAATTTGTAGGGGTGTAAATCGGAAATCAGTTTTAATTTAAAATATGCGAGTGCATCGATACACGGACCCCTGGATCGGCCGGTTCATTTAAATTGATTTAAATGAACCGGCACTCAAATACAGTAAAACAGCACTCAAATACAGCGGTAGCACGACTTCCCCATGTTGTCACTTAGTGAGACAACATGGGGAAACAGGAGATGAGGAGGCTAGTAGTACAGCTAGCACAAAGACACGACAGGACAAAGACACGGATATTCATTGTACATTCATTCATTGAATGAAAAAAGGATTCTAATGATAAGCTAAGGATTCTCTAATAAAAAAAACATGGACATTGTCTGTGGCTGCCAGGACTTGAGGATGTGAGGTCCAAAGACTGTCTCTTCCTGCTCCGACCACACCTTCCAGGTAGCATCCTTGGCCTTTATTAGTTTCCCTCTCAGCCACCACCACTAGGTGGGGTCAACTCAGACAAAAAAAAAGATTAGATTTTCCAATTCCAATTTGGCTCTTACACATCCGGTCCCTAAATGTTTTAAGTTTAACATAAAACAATTACTCAATACGTAATAGTAAGGGAGCCAATAAGTAACATAAAAAAAGACATACATTACATAGTTTTGGTCTAGTCATGAGCTTTCTTCCAGGAGAGGGCATAGCTTTGTCAGTGGCCGCTCTATGATGCTCGTCTTTGTCTTGTGTTTTACTGACCGGACCAGTGCAATGGTATCAAGCTTTGTCTTCAGGATTCTTGCCAGAGGCCATGAAGAGTGTGGGGAGGTAGGGTCAACTATTACCACTATGTCTCCCACTTTGAAGTTTTCCCTCACCTTGGACCACTTCTGCCTTTCTTGCATAAGTGTCAGATATTCTTGTGTCCATCTCCTCCAGAACAAATTGGCCTGATACTGTATTTGTTTCCACTGAAAACTCACCGGGAGGCAGAACAGATTGAGAGTTAAGCAGAAGGACTTAGTTTGGGGTGAGAGGCTCCAAATCAAAGGGGTCAGAGGAAGGATTTTTTAAGGATTGCCTCAACCTCACATAAAACTGTCTAAAGACCTTTATCATCTACAGTTTGTTGTTGTAAAACAGAGTTCAAGATCCATTTGACTGATCTGATTAATCTCTCCCATACATCCCATTGAAGTTCCAGCCTATTCCCCTCTCAAGCATGACTCTTTGGATCTTACTGCTGTTAAAACTGGACAAATCGCTTTTTAGTTCCTTTTCCGCACAAACGAGGTTGGTACCATTGTCAGACCAGATATGCTTTACCTGGCCTCGTCTGCATACGAATCTCCTTATGGCATGGATACAGGAGTCTGTGTTGAGGGAGCAGACCATCTCAAGATGAACGGCTCTGCAAGACAGACATGTAAAAAGCACACCATATCTTTTTACCAAGCTTCTCCCTCTTTTTTTTCCACCGGGCCAGAATAGTCCATGCCAACATTGGTAAACGGTGGGAGATCTGGCTGGGTCCTTTCTTGTGGCAAATTAGCCAATTTTTGTTCCCCTGTCCTACCTTTCAAACGTCTGCAGGTCACACATTTAGAAATTACTATACTCTTCTTGCTGCACTATTACCACTGATTAGCCAATATTGTTTCGCAGTTGAGCAAGGATGTAATTTCTGCCGCAGTGTCCAAACCTTTCATGGACATGGCACAGCAACAGATTGGAGATGTGAGACTGTTCGGGAAGGATGCTGGGATACTTTACGGTCTGAGACATAGCTGCTTGTGACAGTCGTCCTCCTACTCTCAGCAACCCATCCTTCAAAAATGGATGTAGTCGGTAAATTGTGCTGTTTTTGCAAACACTTGATGGTGTTGTTTCAAACACATTTGGGAATGCCTGCTTCTGAATAAAGGATACAACAGCTCTCTCAGCCCTCCCAAGATCTTTCACAGATATGCACTGACCACTGAGTGTCGATTTGAAGGCTTGCGGCTGAGATGTCAACTTCTGATGGCGATGGCGTGTGTTGACATTGGAGGCTGTCTCCAAGCTTTTGAATCCAGGCAACAGCTTTCAATAGTCTGGTCCAGTCTGAGAAGAAATTGAGAAGCTTATGGGTTTGACTTGAAACATCTTGAATTATGACGTTATACATAATAGTGTTGATGAGGTGCCCAAAGTAGCTGACCTCAGTGGCGCATACGACACTCTTTTCTGTGTTGAGTTTCACTCCTCTCTCTCTGGAACATTGCAGCATGGCACGGAAGTTTTCATCATGTTCCTGTTTACGTCTGCCATATATGACAATGTCATCCACTATTGCCATGACTCCTTTTAGATCTTCGTAGGTCTCATTCACTTTCTGCTGGAACTCGTCTTGGGCGGATTTAAGCCCAAAAGGTAAGTGCAGGAATCTGTACCGTCCAAACACTGTGTTGAATGTTGTCAACTTGGAAGACTCTTCTGTGAGCTTTATAGCCCAGTAGCCTGACTTGGCATCCATGACGCTAAAGTAGCATGCTCCAGCTAACCTGGATGTAATGTCATCGAGGGTTGGTAAGGGGTAATGCTGTTGTTTGATTACCTTGTTCAAATCTTTAGGATCGAAGCATATCTTCAGCTTGTCTGTGCCTGTTTTTTTTTTTTTTTTTTTTACATCTTGTATTCCTAATCTCTTGAAAACACGTGTGGGAATGACATTAGCTGAGGCCCCGGTGTCTAACTTAAATCTGACTTTGTTTCGGTTTGGTCCCACTTGTAAGTTTGCTAAAGCCTGTTCTGCATCATGAGTGTTGTTTCCTTGTGTTACTGCATCAATAAACAAATCCTCATCGTCTGTAATTTCATCTGGTTCATTTTCACTTACTGCGTGAACTCCTTTTCCTTGCTTGGAACAATACACTTTTGCAAAATGATTCCATTTGCTGCATATTTTGCACTGCTCTCCTTTTGCTGGCCAGCTATCCTTCACGCCATGTGCCTTGTTTCCACAGTATCCGCCGGTTTTAGCGCAATCTCGGTATTCCGCAGGCTTGTGAGCGTCATTGGAATGTCCCTTTGTCCTGTCTTGGTGCGTTGTCCAAGCTACTTTCTTTGAATGCTTTCTGCAAATAGCATGAACAGTCTGTTCGTGTGAACTGTTGCTGCCATCTATTGTTTTAAGTTGCACTTGTGCTATTTTGTGAGACCTAGCAATGTCTATTGCTTTGTCCACAGTCAAATCAGATCTGACATTAAGCAGCTTTTCGCAAAGTTTAGGCGAATGAATTCCAAACACAACACGATCCCTTATCATCTCTTCGCTGTTAGTATATCCACAGTCCTTCACAAGCAGTCTCAAGTCTGTGACAAACTGTTCGAAAGGCTCGCTAGCTCCCTGTACCTTCTCATGAAATTTGTAGCATGCGAAAATCACATTCGACTTCGGTATTACTCAGGCATCAAAACAATCATAGTATGTTTTCAATACCTTGTTTTCGTCGTCTGTTAGTGTCCATGTATTGTAGATGTCTCTACCTTTATCTCCGACCCACACTAGAAGGTAACTGCATTTCTCGTCCTCCGGTTCTTCTCGAAAACATCAATTTTACGTGGAGTTTGAACTTGCGCCATGCTATGGGCAGGTTGCTAGCATCTGACGTCCATTCTGTTCGAGTTGTCTTTCACTCTTAAACTCTGACACCATGTCTTGGTCATACTAAATGTACAAAAATCCAGGATCACACTGGTGTGATATAGATCGTAGTTTATTAACTAGTTTGAGAGCAACATGTGAATCGTGTCGTTCGTCATTACACACCAGATACATACCGAGCATGCGCAGTAAGAATGCAGGTTACAAATGATGATGCGCATTGATTGGCCAATGAGAACAGTCATCTCATATAAGTGATGCTTTCAACTAAAATCATCTATTATATTTGATGTGAATATTACACTGTGGTCACTTGCAAAAAAATACCTCTGCATAGCAGCCACCAGTGTGGCGTCAGAACGAGTTTTCAGCACTGCAGGAGATATTGTTTCTGCACAATGTATTGTACTCCGACATGATCATGTTGATCAACTGATCTTTCTCAAGAAGAACATTGACAAGCACAAGCATACATGAACTTCTTCACTGTATGTATGGTATAAACAGGTTATGTCCAATCTTGTGTCCATAAAGGTATGTGCCCAATTTGCCTTATTACCTAGCAACTGCCGCCCAACCACAACCGCGACGCCATGGCATCGGCGAGTGTTTAGGGCGCATATCAAGTCAGTGAAGACCTGGTGCAGACGCCCTCAGCAGCGAGTTTCTGGTTTGACATCCAGCTGGCTGGACTTTACTGCATGTCACTCCCCTGCTCTGTGTCTCTATTGTCCTTTCAAATAAAGGCAAAAAAATAGCTTAAGACAAATTTTTTTTTTTGTGACCAAAATTAAAATACATAAAAAATCATCCGTGTCCCGGTGTTTCACATATCATAGGTGATAACCCTATTCCTGCAGCACTTACACATAGCTATTGCAGCATCCATTCTGGGCTTATAGGCCACAACATGGTTGAACAAAAGTTCACTATGTTCTTGCATACGCATCCAAAATTTTCAAATATTTAGTTAAGAAAAGGCGCTAAATATTTTTTAAAAAGGGCGCTACAGGAAGAACCTCCACTGCACCGCGCAGATAGGTTTCCATGTTGCCATGGCGACACAGGGGAGGGGCAGTGTAACACCCACCGGAAACGGTGTCTGCAGTGCTAGCAGAAAATGAAGAGGAGGCAGACCTGATCTCTTCTGTGGAGTCTATTCCTCACATATCCCTGCACGTATGTGTGTTGAATGTGTGAAATCAGTGTGGAGACACTCAGTGGTATGACTGGACTCCAGAGAGCGCGCTTTGATGAAGTAGTGCGCTGACTGTGGGAAACGTCGCACCGGCCGCCAGTAGACTGTGGGAGAAGCTGAGCGGTCCTGCCCCCTTCAATGACCAACCTTCAGTGCTAGCGATAAAAGCCTCGCTGGCGACACAGTAACCATGGAAGACTACCATGAGTATCCTTAAGTATTGTTACTGCTGAGCTCTTGGCCCCTAGTGTTACGGTTTCAATATGCCCGACCGGCAGTGCTCCATGAGGCTCGCAGTTGCCTGATATTAACGTTATAGGCCTGCTTTTTCCATCTGGAAAGTTCTTGGCAGGGGAAAGCAGGCCAGCTAGCGCCGCTAGCGTTAGCCTTTTCCGCGCTGCGGCTCTGGGCTTTTCCAGTGCGGGGTTTTCCATGACCACACCATTGACATTGTTGTCTATCAATTCGAGGACGTTTTAACTCCAAGAAGTATTTTATGGGATTCATATCGGCGAAGGAGAAGTGGGCCTAAGCCAAAATGGTGAACTGGAGGCGACTGCTGCGAATGTCCAACCGATCGTTTCTGGCCTTCATATTCTTCTTCTCCATGTCCACCACTTGTCTCTACTTCATTTATGTGGCTCCTGGAATAGGTAAGTAAACAGAGGTTTACACTAAACGGCTTGCAAGGCAACAGATAATGTTATTATGTCTGGATTATATGCTGCAGTCCAACAAGCTCCCGCTGCTGTCACAGTCCACGCTAACGTTAAAAGCCTTAGCTAACAGGCTAACTAGCCCACAATGAAAGGTCCACCCCAGGCCATAATGTCCAGCTGGCCCTCGCTGTGTAGCGATGTTACACACCAAATTGCGTCTCCCAATGGCAGTGGATTGAAAGATTACCTGGATATTTTCCCTTGTGTTGTATTTATGGATGATATGTATTTAGCTAGCGTTTGACAGCAGACTTGTGAATGAATGGACTGTGGGCATCACTCCTAATGTTGTGTGGGGTTCTACCCAAGCGATCAGGATCTACACCAACATGGGCAAATTCAGCTATATGACTGGTTCACATGTAGTGAAGAGTGGGTCAGATGTTCCAATATTCACCATCTCATGCTAAGAATGTACACCAGAGTTTTTCAGTTTCTGAAACAATATTATAGTAATCATTGGTTCCTGAACTCTGAACAATCTTGTCTCAGTGTGTATTGTAATTGCTACAATATACACTGGTCGTATGTAAGTAACCTCATAATGTCATGTGTATGTTATGCAATGTTGGGATGGTTACATTGGATGGATACATTAATAGGCTACAGATTACTAATTACTCTGTTATAAGTAATGTAACAGCTTTAATTGCTTAAAGGAATGTAACTCATTACATTTGATTACTTTTTGATTACTTTTCAGTACCTCTAATTTAGTCTGTTGGCACTCTGGTTTCATATGAACCTGGAGATGTCATTAGGTTCTGACATTTCTACAAACAGCTGAATGAAGTTAGTGTTATTAGACCTCATACCTGTCACCTGTCTGACCTGTGTGGTCTACAGGTATGTCATCAGAAGACTTTCCTGTTATATTCTGCATATCAGCTTTTTACAGAAAAGAATATATTCAGATGGAACTCCTTTGTAATCACCAACATTTTCATTAATAACTTTAATTTAATTACAATAATTTTTTTCTCTGTGAATTTAACAGATTAGTTACATGTATTTTGTAATTTAATTATGCAATCCTGTTATGTGTAACCAGTTTCTCCCTAACACTGATGATATGATAGTTGACAAGATCCTGTTCTTGATGTACAGTACAGTAAAGCCCTGATGCTGGAGCAAACAGATGTCTACAGAGGTCTTCACTACAACAACTTTGACAAATCCAAGATATCTTTTTGTTATCTGGCTCCACTGAGCCCAACATTGTCGAACCAGTACTATGAAGTTGGTTATCACCTGGTTCAGTTAACTTTGGGTTTACCTGTCCAGCTAAAAGCGCATTCATGTGAAAGAGGAATAGTTTTTAACTACAAACAACATTGTCAGAACCATGAATAAAGTATTAATATGATATGAGACAAAAACGCTGATACCTGCAGGTAAATTCAGTTATAGTGACGCATAAAGTGAATTTCAACAAGGTGAAATGTAAACAATATGATCACATGACTACAATAAAAAAGAAACAAATAATTTCCAATGAACAAAGTCAGACTGAGGATATACTCTAAATAAGAACATGAATTATCATGAAGTTTCTTCTTTGACTACCTGACTGAAATCTTCATTTATGATCAATATAAATATTTCAGTGTCTGGATCATTTTTGGGTTAGTTTTTATTCCTGTTGTGGTCACAGAGTCTCCTCATGTTATTCTGAACTGCAGTGATGATGAAGAGAGTAAAAGCTTCATCACTGTTAGAAATCCTGTTGGATTAAAGAAGCTGTGTTCAGTTCAAATGAAGCTGGAAAAGTCATTGTGTGGTTATTTAGTGTGACAAACTCTTATCTGTTTGTTAGAAGCTCTGTTTTAAAAGCAGAGTGAAAACATGGAAAGACTCAAACAGCAAAACATTGACTGATCTACTGATCTTTCTTATTGATCACTTTATTGTAAACTCTTTTTACCCTGTTGTTGGATCCTGTAGAAATGATGACTAAATTTTTCCACTGATCTGATAGGTCAGTCTGGCTGTTGACAGGTTTTGATCTGATCCTCTGAAGTTAACCTGCTCTGGAGCAGGTTAGGAGTTCAGCATCAGTTACCATGGTGGTTTACCCCAGTATCAAGTGAACCACCATCATAACCTCAGATCCTGCTTCATAGTACAGACCTCTGGTCTCATTCACACCTGCAGCTTGAAAGCTGATCATGTATATGATTGATAAACACACTTTTACTGATGATCAGTGGTGGTGTTTCTTGAGAGGAGAGGAAGTTCAGAGAAATTTACTGTAGACTTGTGTTAGCCTAGGGTCCAGCAGCATGATTGTAGACAGGGTGGTTTGTGTTCTAGATCTAGTACTGTAGGTTGTAGTAGTTGGTTGTTGTTTTGTTGTGCAGAGGGCCAGGTACTGAAGCTGATGCTGCATTATGGCAGAAAGACTTCGGAACTCATGAACACAGATGACACCTTGTACAGTGGGCGGCTGTGGCTCAGGTAGTAGAGCAGGTTGTCCACTAATCAGAAGATCGGTGGTTCGATCTCCAGCTCCTCCAGAGTGCGTGTTTAAATGAACCCTGTTCCTGTGTGTGCATGTGTGTGTGAATGGCAGCACATGTTGTGGTCACACCTTTTGTACCTTTAGTATCACACATTGCTGTTTCTCTTAAGAATATAGAGATAATACTTTTTCTGCTATAGCAACCCATGTCCAGTTCATTTAATATTGTCACACTAGTGGATTCAATAGACCCCATATCAATGGCAGCCACCTTGGTTGTAAATGAAAGTGCTTCAGTCACTCCTCTGTCAGTCATCAAATCCCACCCATCTGTGATAAACGGTTGTGATTTGGCCCGAGCTGTTTCAGTGCAGATGGAAATCTCTCTGAATGGAAGGGGGGCATACCCCTCTGAACTAGTTAGAAACTGCACTGATTAGAAATTTTGTCTGACTTTCACCTGCGCTGCTGAACGTCACCAGGTCACACAGCATTAAAAGCTCTGTGACCACAGAACTTTGTCCTGATTGTTTCAAGGCTTCACTGACACCCATGACGTGTTCTGTGTTTTATTATTATTTTATTAAGAACTTCATTATCTCCTGTGGTTCTCTGCATTGTACTAGATCAGCGCATCTTTTACATATGGCCACCAACACTAACGTTTTCATTTCCTGCAGAAAGCAGTAGAAACAATTTTAGTGAAAGAGAAGTAATGTTCCTATACTTTATTTGTAACAGAAATACTGCAATGGACAGCTTCTATCATACAACTTGAAGTTTCTGTATAAATTCTAATACTGTCTGTCGGACAGTTAGTTTTTAAACTGTGTTATCTAGTGACCAGGATTTGGCTCCTCTGTTCTTAGTGTCATTTTGATTAACTTGTTAATTCTTTGCAGTGTAATGTAATTCCCAGTGTGGCTGGGGTATTTGTGTCAGATCACAGCTGACGTGGCACCTTTGTTTCATAATAATAATAATAATAACACCGCAGTACATATGAAAAACATGATACTGTCCACTCACAGCTCAGAGCAACAGGCTGTTACACCTGATAATCAATCAAGTTTGGGAACGTGTTAACAGCTATGTTGAAACACTGATGAGAGTGCAGGTAAGGAGAGACAGTAAAGAATAAGTACTGCTTTAAATCTATATGTGAGGGGCACCACAACAGCCCAATGATCACAAATACTTACAGAAAATGCAACCACATGAAATTTTAACACACTCTCAAAAAATGTTCACATATGCAACTGTGGTTGCAGTCTGGAGCCCTGCATGTGTACTCACTGCAGATTAGTTATTTGAAAAATATTTCTATGAAAAATATTCTATCAGGTAAAGATATAAATGATCACTTCTTTTGTGTATGAACTCTTCCCTTGGTTGTTTGGGATTTGAAAGAATCAACAGTTTAGCCATGGCTTGGTCCTGACTACTGGTGAGAAATACGCTGTATTTTGACCTTTTCTCCTTTTCTACATACATGCGTGAATCCACAGATCTAAATTATTGACAGCATCCATAATGTCTGACTGTAGAGATGCGGATGAGTTACAAATAAAAGGAAGAATCTGAATAAATGAGTGGTGGAGCGTAGCAAAATTTAGATGACTCCATGCAGAACCTGAAGCCTCACTGAAGCTGCTCCATGCAGGCGCAGCACCTCACTAAGACTGTTTGTGTTGGTTGTTGTCACCATCTGTACATGGCACGCTTTTTGAAATTGCAGGAAGTTCATGTCTGTAGTTGGTTATAGTGCAGGTAATTGTGTGCAAATTACATTACAGGAAGGTTTTTTTTCTTGAGCTGTGTGTGAATCAACAGCTGGAGTGAATATGTCTGTGGCTGCAGGTCTCCTCTTAATGTTAGCTCGGTGCAGGTCTCCTGTCTGTATGTTAGGTTGGTACAGGTCTCTGAATGTTAACTTGGTACAGCTCTCGGAATGTTAGCTTGGTGCAGATCTCATCTCTGGATGTTAGCTTGATGCAGGTCTCATCTCTGGATGTTAGCTTGATGCAGGTCTCTGAATGTTAGCTTAGTGCAGGTCTCCTCTCTGAGACTGAGATTCCTCTCTGAATGTAAGCTTGATACAGGGCTCTGAATGATAGCTTGGTGCAGGTCTCTCTCAATGTTAGTTTGGTACAGGTGTCCTCTCTGAATGTTAGCTTGATGCAGGTCCTCTCTGAATGTTAGCTTGATGCAGGTCTCATCTCTGGATGTTAGCTTGATGCAGGTCTCTGAATGTTAGCTTGGTACAGGTCTCCTCTGAGACTGAGATTTCTCTCTGAATGTTAGCTCAGTAAGGTCTTTGAATTTAAGCTTGGTACAGGTCTCTGAATGTTAGCTTGGTGCAGGTCTCTGTCTGAATGTTAGCTTGGTACAGGTCTCTGAATGTTAGCTTGGTGCAGGTCTCCTCTCTGAATGTCAGCTTGGTACAGGTCTCTGAATGTTAGCTTGGTGCAGGTCTCCTCTCTGAATGTTAGCTTGGTGCAGGTCTCCTCTCTGAATGTCAGCTTGGTACAGGTCTCCTCTCTGAATGTTAGCTTGGTACAGGTCTCCTCTCTGAATGTTAGCTTGGTGTAGGTCTCCTCTTTGAAAGTTAACTAGGTGCAGGTCTCCTCTCTGAATTTTAGCATGGTGTAGGTCTCAGATGGTTTGTAACCTGTTGTATTTTCCTTGGTTTTCTGTGCAGTGTGCTTCTAACAGGCCTGTGTGGATTATCAGTCAGTCTGGGATTCAACATCCAGCTGAGAATTTAATTTGAGGACTCAGAACCATCAGTTCATTCTTTGCGTGTTCTGCCTTCCCTGTGACAAACCAGAGTAAAGATTGATAAGTGTTTTAAGTAGCAGATATAGAAGAGAATATATAATCCTGGATAACCCTGTTTTGATTTCAGGGACTGTGACAAACATTTTACTGAAGTTCACAGGCTCAGTATTTGTGTTTATCAGCAGGAGCATCATCTGCTTTGACCTGCGTGCCTTTACTCTTTCACTCGCTCACCAACCAGGACTGCCTGGCAGCTCTGTGATAAGACTTTATCATCCCCAAACACCGTTATGTTTACACTCTGAAATCCTCTGGCCAATAGCAAGAGTGACACTAGGGTTTTGTAATGTGATGATATATATACAGTATATATAATAAAATGTTACAGTGGCAAGAACAAGTGAGTTAAGCTTTGGAATCACCTGCATTTTGTTATAAATTTGTCTTAAAATATGATCAGATATTCATCAAAATTACAGTCAACAACTATTATCTATTTGAACTGATAATACATAAATCATAATGTTATTCTTGTCCAAACATCATTTAAACATTAGACCCTTGTACTGATCAAAAAACCTGCTAACATCTGTCTTCTGTCATCAGTGTGACTCCCAGATCACATGACACCCAGGTCACAGTAGTAGTAGACAGTAGTCACAGGTATTTATGTTTTACAATTTACATGTTCAGTTCATTTTGTTGTTGCTTTTTTGATCTTGCTTTGTGTAATTTTATACATATTTGACATACTGGTTAACTTGTGAGTGTTTTCTAATGGGTTACAATAGGGGCTGTCTTTGAGACAAATTTTAATTGTAAACAGAGTTCTGTACAAGCATCAACCTCTGGACAATGAAGCCAACACTGAAGGAACAAAAACTGGCTCCAACAGTGATTCCATCCCCATTGACTCCCATGTTAAAATGTCCAACTTAACAGCAGAAATAAACATGTTTACAGCCTGGTACAAAAACAGTTTTGGTCTCTAGAGCAAATTTTCACCTTCATGACAACTCTGTTTAAGTCACCTGATTACATTTTACTAAGACTTAAAGTTATGTAGGATTTAGGGCGTGGCCTCTTTGAGTGTCAGTCTCAGCTCCAGACACCCCCCACCTCTTGCCCATTTCTGGATTAGCTAGGAGTTAGGGGTGGAATCGGACACTGCCAAGATGGCGACGGTGGGGCAGCTTACTCTGAGCTTCAGAAACCTGTGGGAGACATCACAGAGGCTGCGTCCATCTTTATTTACAGTCTATGGTTGTCTGTGTTGCAGTAGCCTTGAAAACATTGAAGTTGTTGACAAACCAGGTGACACCATCTGACATCATCATTCCCAGTCTGTCATGGGACCTTTGGTTTGTGCTCGCTGCGGCTTGAGAATCAGTTGTGGTGTTGTACAGTAAGTGAGGACAGCTGTGTCTACATGAAGCAATTGTAATGCAGTAAGAGACTAACATCATTTCTCCTGTCTCTCTGTCAGCCAACACATACTTCTTCATGGTGCAGGCTCAGGGCATCATGTTGAGAGACAACGTCAGAACCATCGGCCAGATGATCCGACTGTACACCAACAAGAACAGTACACTCAACGGGACAGGTGAGTCATATACATATTGAACCACTGAATCCTCCTGCTCAAAGCCCACATAGTCTACAAGTAAACTCAGAGCCCATGTGATCTACATGAAGGGCTGCTGTGATTAGTCGCCATTATCGACTATGTCGACTAGGAAAAAGCATCAACGTCAATGTTTTAAGTCAACAAATCGTTTTCCATACATTAATTTATTTGTGGGGGCCAGTCACTATTAACTGCCATATATTTATTTTCTATTTATCATTTATGGTTGCACTGCCTCTCTGTCTCCTGCTCTGCTCTCTCTGTTCCCTGGGAGAGCCGGTGCTGCAGGTACACAGTGCATACACACACACACACACACACACACACACACACACACACACACACACACACACACACACACACACACACACACACACACACACACAAAGTAAAGTGAGACGAACTAGAACAATCAATTCTAGTCCTGTTCTGAATTTATTCTTTTAAAAAAAGAACCAGTGATAGTGTGACCTTCCACCAGACATTTCTGCAAAAACAAACAAACAAAAAAAAACTACATAATGGGATGTAATGTTAATTTAGGGAAACTTTTCAAGAAGCTGGGTGTGCTTGGATGTAAGAGAGATAATATCCATCTGTAGGGTTGAAAGGTGGCAACTGGTTTGGTTTTACTTGACATTACATTATTCACAGCACTTTGAGGACATAACATGAACGAAAATATCAATATCAAATCCACTGAGTACCGAGAAAACAAGTACTAGAATCATTTTATTTTCAAATACGGGACGATCCCGTACTATACGGGATGGCTTGCAACCCTATTCACCTGTTTGAAGAGGCGGAAAATCCAGCACGTTCGTATTCTTCTTCTTCGGCAAATTTTGAATGGCTCTGCCTGATGCATGGATTATGATACAGTGCCACTACATTGCCATAGGGGCGTACAGCAGCAATTGCAGTTACAAACGTCAAATCCACCGGGTACAGAGACGGGAGGCGACGGGAGGTCCACCTCCCAATTCTCTATGGAGGAAAAACCCTGTATATACTCTCATAAAGTCATATAGTCGTCTGCTGCTGCCTTAGAATTTACACTGAATAAGTATTTGATAAAATAATCGATAGATTAATCATTACAAAATCGTTATTTGCAGCCCTATCTCCATGAAAACTGGTCTACATGTAAACTCAGAAACTCTTAAGTTTATTGAAGAACAACCCAACATCCTGTTTTAACTTCAACCTTTCACAATAAATCAAATAATGCATCAAAACCCTGACTCACAACTGTTCACAATTGCTGTTTTTCTCAGTTGCATATTCCATCCTGTCCACACTGCTGACAGTGGATCACTACAGATCAGTAGGTAGATACCTGCTGTGTTCGCGCCATACTACCATAATAAACAAGGATAGAAACCACCAGATACATAGATCAGATTGAGAGGGAAGAGAAAGAGGTTTGGGTTAGTGCAGGTTCACACAACTCCGGATAAACAGAATTAGAACACACATTAGAACGTTAGATATGAAGTTATAAATATGAAGTACACAGAGGGCAGAATGTACTTTACTGTCCTGAAGTCTAACAGATGAAACATGAGCAGTGCAAAGTTCAGTAGTTCAGTGAAACCTCCCTCCACCCAACTTCCACCCTACTACACACTCACATCCTTCGTCTGCCCTCGATCCAAATCCTGGTAACAGTCTTCAGGTGTTGGAGTCTGGTCTGTCTATGTGAAACACACTGGTCTCTTGATACTCCAGTGACTCCTCAACCAGGAGCCTGGAGCTCACAGTGCTAGTTATCGCCCCCGAGTGTAAACAGAGGAACACAGAGAAAATTGCCACAAAGTAAACAGAGTCATTGTCTATCAATGAGTAGTAAAACTCAACAACTATCTTTAGAGAAATACATAAAATGACAGAAACAGCTGTCTGAGATGATTAGACTGGGGGAGGGGCATGATGATAGCTCGTAGTTCTGCTTTCAGGGTTGGTCAGATCTGATGTAAAGAACATGGTGAATGGGAACAGGGTCAGTAGAGAGTGTAGTAAAGTGTCTGTACATGTATGGAAGCATGGTTCTGTCAGGAGAGAAATATACTATGAAAATATACTTTTAACATCTACACACAGTGAAGTAAAGGTGCTGCAGTATAAGTTTAAATCTGGGTATGATGATGAACAGGTAGACTCTGAGCTTCACTGGTCCAACAAGCTCATAACATGGATCAGTTTAATAGTATGAAGAGACAACATTTATTAGGAGTCTTGATAAAATAACAGATCGCTTGAAATACAAAAGCCTGTAGTTTGAAGACATTAAACTGGTGCAGTGCTGTCAATGATGCTGGATGTGTTTGCTGCAGACTATCCTGATGGCAGTAACTCCAGTGAATACCTGGTCCAGCCAACTACATATCTTCCAGAGAACTTCACCTATGCCCAGAACCTGCCCTGCCCAGAGCGATTACCTTCTATGAGTGAGTAGACTGATTCCTACCACCAGTGTGTCTTTATATAATATAATATAATATAATATAATATAATATAATATAATATAATATAATATAATATAATATAATATAATCATTATATTTATTATTTAATTTACCATTCATTTAAGCTCTTTATTTAAGCCTTTACTGCAGTGGAAGCCTTGCTGCTTCATTGTTTAGTCCAAACTGCTGCAAACACCTTCATCAAATCAGCCTCATGTTTCCAGATGAAGGTGGTCAGTGTCAATAAAGCCCCCTTGGCATTCACACCTGGGTCACATGACTCTGCAGTAGACACAGGTATTTGGCTCTGGCTCCGATTGGCTTTAATGTAAATACAACATCTAGGTGAACATGCTAATTTTCACTCCTTTTCCTGCTGAGCACAGAGACACTGTGAACACACCTGTCACCTGTCCAGCACCGTGCTGTTAAACCAGAACACCTCAGCTACACTTTCCTCTGAGAGTGAACTACAGCCCCAGTTTGCACAGCAGCTAACAGCTCACTCTGTGTATGTGCTCTGTAAGTGCATGTGATGACATCACTCCTTGCAGCTGTGTGTGAACAGAAAGACAAACTTGCAGTGATGGTGACAAACAGCGACAAACTGACAGTGGAAAAGGGGTCAATCAGCTTTTATTAGCTGGTTTACCCACGTTTAAAAAACCTGCTCATACCTGATAATATTGGTGTAAAAAGGGCATTACTGTTAAACAGAAGACGTTCTTTAATTAAGATTTTCACCCCAAAATCATTAACAGCTAAAGAACTCACCAAATACACAAAAGCCTAAAGGAGGCCTTTCTTTTGGGTCCCTGTGTTGTTGTTGTCACAGGGCTGATAGCGCTCCGGCACCACACCGGATTTCCGGCGTACCGAGGTGTTTGTGGAAAAAAAAAAAAAAATCAGGTTCACGTTCGCGTGATCTGACAATTCCCAAGATCCGAGAGGTGCTTTCACTCTAAACCACACCTGTAGGCATAGCCTACTTAAGCCAATCGGTAATAGGGGAGGGGGTGGTCTTGGGTTTTGGCCAATCAGATTGATTCAGCAGTCACCCCACGTGCGAATGTGTTTTGTGTTTCCCATACACTACGAATGTGTTTCCCACACTGGCAGCGCGAAACATAGCCGAAGTCATGGAGTGCAACTTTATGAAGCCAGGGGAAGACACCAAACTTGTCGATAAAGGGATAAAGAATAATTGGCGTTGGTCTTGGATAGAGGAGGTGAGTAGAGACGGAAAGCCCTTTCGAAGCTGGTGTCAAAAACTCCGGCAACCAGGAGCATGTTTCTGCACTTTGTGTGCAAGGAAAATATTATATGGAACTAGCGGGAAAAAAGTGCTGCCACGGCACGAGTTCGACGCTAGTCATCGAGCAGCTTTACGACCAATTCAACATACCTCACGTTTGCCGGGGGCAACAGCCACAGCAGATATCCGACCCTCAATGACCGATCGCGTGGCTGATTTAAAAATTCGCTTGTGCTCCTTCATTGCCGAGTATGATCTATCATTTACAATCGCTCATCCACTCGTCACTTTGTGTCAGAAATTAGCGGAGGATAAACTCGCCCTTACGCATCTGTCTGTCTCAAGGCAGCATGCAAGCTATCTTATTACACACGGCATCTCACCAGAATTTAAAAGAAATCTGTGACAAGCTTGAAAATAACATGTTTTCACTCAACATTGATGAGGCCACGGACAAAAGCATGGATAAAATTCTAAATGTACTTGTCCGATTTTATGACGAGGATGCAGGCAGTGTGAAAAGTGTGGTTAGTGAGGTCCCCCCTCCATTGTAAAAGTGCTTTGGGTATCTTGAAAAGCGCTATATAAATCCCATGTTCATTCATTCATTCATTCATTCATTCGGGGTCAGCCCTGTGTTCCCACATTTCTAAGAATGTTTTGAAAATTAGGCCCTATTTTCCCACAGTCTTATATGTTCCCATAAGCCCATGTCCACACTAACCCGGGTAATATTTATCCGGTTAGCGCTTCAGTCCACATTAGAACGGTGAATTTCGTAACTGAAAACGATGCTTTACAAAAACGATCGCTGAGGTGGATAAATGTGAAGACGCCGTGGAACGTGGATGCAAAGCGTTCTGAAAGGGTATAAAAAGGGAATATAGGGCTGTGGGAACATAGACACGCTCCCATTCATTCAATTCCTAGTTTACTTTTGAGTATTATAATTGTCACCCACTGACCTTTCTTGGTATGGCTGTAGTATCCGTAGTCTCAGTATGCTATACAAGCAATAAGTACGCAGGTAAGTGACTAGTTAAAAGCAGGGATGGATTACTGAACAGGCCTACCAGGCCCAGGGTCCCAAGAGCTCTGGTGCTCTACACAAAGATGTTCCTGTAATATAGGCTTGTATTGGGTTTGTTCATCTCATGTCTGAATAATGTACATTTGTATCCACAAAAGTCATCAGAATATTTAATTCAATGGACTATTTATCAAAATGTCCCAGGGGAGCACACCTCTGGATCCCGCTTGACAATTGCGTTGATCGGGGCATATATCTTAGCTTCGGGGCTCGCTTACCTCCCAGGGAAAAAAGTTCAGGCTCCGGATTTTTTTTTACTATCACCCCTGTGTTGTTGATGTTTGTGTTGTTGTTCATGGTGATGTGTGTGTTGACATTGTTGATGTGTGTGATCCACAGAGGGCCTTATGGAAGTGAACATGACAGAAATCCCCATGGAGGAGATTGAACTGAAGTTCTCCAAGTTCTTTGACATTGAGTTTGGAGGCCATTGGAAACCAAAGGACTGCAGACCTCGCTGGAAGGTTGGGCTCACCGGGTGTTCAGAGTAATGTTAGTCAGAACATTATGGGTGTGGTCAGTCAAGTCTTACTCCAGTGTGTCCTCTGCAGGTAGCCATCCTGATTCCTTTTAGAAACCGCCATGAACATCTCCCCATCCTCTTCCAACACCTCATCCCCATGCTGCAGAGACAACGGCTGCAGTTCGCCTTCTACGTCATTGAACAGGTAGTGTGTGTGTGTGTATGTGTGTGTGCTTGCGCGCGCACGTGTGCGCCTGCTGCAGTGATGGTGAATATTCAGCTAAATGAAACTGTTCTGATGCTTTGTGGATTATAAATAAAGGTTGAAAAGCCTTATGGGTACTGAAGTCCCTCACATTAAACAAGGCTTCATATTATTTACCTGTAGCTGCAACAGGCTTATTTAGTGTGTGCGTGTGTGTGCGTGCGTTTGTGTGTTCAGAGTGGGAGTCAGCCCTTTAACAGAGCCATGCTGTTTAACGTGGGGTTCATGGAGGCCATGAAGGACCTGGACTGGGACTGCTTGATCTTCCACGACGTGGACCACATCCCTGAGAATGACCGAAACTACTATGGCTGCGGTCAGATGCCACGCCACTTCGCCGCCAAGCTTGACAAATACATGTACATGTGAGTGTTGTCAACTGCACACAATTTATATAATATATTTGAGAATATATAAAACACCTAGAGCTAAATGAAATATAGGTGTAATGTTGAACAAGTGCACATTTTCTTGTGTATGTTTTCACATGTGGGTCTTAATCCAGATCATTTAGACCTGAGTGTAACAGACCGTGTTGTCTTCAGTCTTCCATACAGTGAATTCTTTGGCGGTGTAAGTGGACTCACTGTGGAGCAGTTCCGCAAGATCAATGGCTTTCCCAATGCATTCTGGGGCTGGGGAGGAGAGGACGATGACTTGTGGAACAGGTTAGTGTACAAAGAGAGTCCACAGTGGCTGACCCTTTCATGTAGTTACTCAGTTGATGCTGGGGAGACTTCACCATGTAAACCAGAGAAGGAAACTGCAGCTTCGTCTCCTTGATGTAAACTAAAGGTAGAAAATTGTCTAGACTCAAAGATCATGGTGGTCAGGAGGTTCAACTTCAGTATCACTAACACCCTAATGTTGCTGTAAATCCATCATGGTGGCAATGTTGATGCAACCTATACAGAGTCTGTATATAAGTCTATGAATCTCCCACCCCAGTTTGAAGACACATGCTGTTTCTGAATGCACTATAAAAGCAGTATGTACACAGGCTGCCTGTGGGGTCCATGTTTACTGGCTGAGGTTACCTGCACAGGTGTCTGCAGGGCTTAAAGTATGCCGGCACCATAACACTGTGAGAGAAAAATGAAAAGTCAATACACTTGGGAAATTTGTTGTGGATGCAGTTTATCATGTTCGAGGTAATAAAGTTCACCTACCAATGGTATGAGAGGAACGCAGCTCTCGCTCTCAAACTAACCAGACACTGAACATAACCAACCCAACCAATCAGAAGCAGAGTAGGGCGGGTCTTGGCAACACTGGCAGTTCTTTAAGCACAGAAAGCAACATTTCAGGCTCAGGATTTTTTTTTTTACTTTAAGCCCTGTGTTTGTGCACCATCACTGACAACATCATAGTGAGACACAGATGTTTGCAAGAAGTAAAGATTTTAATTTCACACCTTCAGATATAGAGGGCGCCCTCTACTGGACATGATGGAGACTAACCAGAGAAGGACTGAGACGCATATAGTCCAGACCAGACCAGGGGTATTCAGTAGACCTGACCAGGGGTCAATAACAATTCAAAGAGGACCAGATTTATTTGTTTTCACATGTGAACAGTCTGAACAAACAGCTTCAAACCCCCTCTTTCTGTCATGTTACTGTGTCAGTAAATTCAGATGTTTGAGGTTGTCTGTTCATGGTGGTGTTGTGTAACGCAGCCTGGTTTCTCCTCAGAGTTCATTACGCTGGTCTGAATGTGACACGGCCAGAGGGAGAGATTGGCAAGTACAAGTCAATTCCTCACCACCACAGAGGAGAGGTGCAGTTCCTCGGGAGGTAAGAACCTGAATGACCTCTCTGTTCTAAAGAAGAACCATGAAGAACCAAGGAGAACTTCTTTTCTTTTACCTGAACTACATCACAGAGTTTAATCAAACATCCTTTTGTCCATGAGAACTCATCTTAATTAACATGTGCATGGAACTTAACTTAGATCATGACAGTTAAAAGCACAGATAGTGACGAGAACTGATAAGATTTTATTGATACCACAATTCCCTTAATGATTACCAGTTATCTTTTTAAAACAGTAAACACAAGGTGTTTGTCACAGTCACACCTGACACCAGTGCTCCCACTTTAAACCAGTACAGTCCTCTCCTCTTTAAACCAGTACAGTCCTCTCCTCTTTAAACCAGTACAGTCCTTTCCCCTTTAAAACAGTACAGTCCTCTCCTCTTTAAACCAGTACAGTCCTCTCCCCTTTAAACCAGTACAGTCCTCTCCTCTTTAAACCAGTACAGTCCTTTCCCCTTTAAAACTTTCCATGTGTAGACTGCAGCTTCATTTGACACAGACCTTTGTAAACTTATAACTACAGGCTGAGACAGTAGGAGAGGAGATGACAGATAGTGACCTTTGTCTGTGTTCTTCATTTGGCTTCACTCAGCAAAATTGTTTATGCAAACTTCAGTATTTGTTTATTTATCGCACGTTATATTGTCATCACAATATTGAACAGTGTCATTGCAAATTTTCCTCATATTGTGTAGGCCTACACTGAGCTCTGGTTCTACATTGTAAACATGAGTCTATAGACTGTGGCTGCGGATTTATTATTATCACCTATACAATTATCACTTGACCGGGTTCAATCAAACAGGCTCCTCCACATTTAGTTCATTCATGAACATAGTTCATAAAACTCTGTTTATACTGTGACTGAACACATGACAGTTCTTATTCACTGAGAGGTGTGTGTCCTGTTGATCAACATTTTAATTTCACTATTCAATCAATAGTCAATGTCAGTCCTTCCTGCATCAGTCCAAAGACCAGATCACTGTCTGGTTTATAATGATGTTCATCATATAAAGTCTGGACTGGTCCACACAGGCTGCTGCTGCTCAGGAGTTTCATTTGCTTCACATACCTGGATGTGGTTGTTTTCTGAGCAGCAGTTTATAAACACTGTCACCTGTTGTTGTTTATCAGATTCATAAACAGCTGTATTTCACTCAGACACAAAGTCACAGAGACTGGAGATAAAGGCCCTGTTCAGACCTGACATTAACATGAGTCTCAGATGATCTCATCACAAGTGGACCGCTCTAAAAAAAACCCACCAAAATTAGATTAATCCGCCACAGAAAATAATCCTCAACAAAGTTTCCTCCTGTGACAGAATCGACAGTGAGCAGCTGTTTGTTTTAAAGCTTCAGTCTTCAGTATGAACCAGTGGCTCAGAGCCACACACAGTAGTGATGATAATCTACAGCTTGAATGAGCTGAAAGCTGTGGATGGTGTAGTGCAGTGGGATCAGAGCATATACTGACATACCTGTGACTGTGTTTGTAGGTATAAACTGCTGAGGTATTCCAAAGAGCGGCAACACCTGGATGGCCTCAACAACCTCCACTACAGCCCCCACGTCTCCCTCAGCAGCCTCTACAAGAACATCACGGTGGACCTGTACCCTGAGCTCGCCCCCATCACAGACTACTGAAGCCCCATCCCACCCTCCTCCACACCCCTAGCTCACCCAGCTCCCCTCTGGCCTGGCCTAGCGCCCCTCTCAGCTCTCCAGAGGCCTAGTGGTGGGGCGACAGAGAGGAGGGGGGCCCAGGCGGGGAGGGGTGAAGAGGAGCACCATGTAATGCTGCCAAGAAAACCTAGAGGAAAAAATTAAACCGAAAAAAAGAGGCAGTGGCAAGTCTCTCAAACTGTTGATAGTGTGTGTGTGTGTGTGTGTGTGTGTGTGTGTGCGTGCGTGTGTGTGCGCACGCGTACGTGCGCACGCACGTGTGTGAGTGTGTGTATGCACGTGTGTGTGCGTTGCTGCATGTCTTTTTGTCTGTGCCGGCTTAACTACTCCAGGTTGACATGAGTTTGGTTTAGGTTGGAGGGAGCAGCAGCATCTCAAAGCCTTAATGTGGCAGAACCACAGCTCCCTCTGCTCGGCTCCGCACTGCTTCACTTCTGATGTATCACCGTCACCTTACCAACTTTCTACTATCATTTGTTTTATACATATCATTCTGTTGGGCCACAGTGGTCAGCGTTAATATTTGTGACGTACATTTTTTATTTTGATACGTGCTATTTATTTGATCTGAGCGGGATGTTTGAAAAAGCACTCCTGTCTGTGTCACTCGAGTATTTGCTGTTTGTTTTGCTGCACTGCTGCTGAATCCGCATGAACATGTATGTAAATATCGGCCTCTTAAAGCTCGAACACAGAACACAAATATGTAAATATGGGCCTTTAAATGCTCGGGCGTATTACAGTGATATTCCAGTGGGTTTGAATTTTATTTTGGCAGCTACCTTTGTTCTGAGGACTTCATAAGAGTGAGTGTTTCTTCCAGCAGGAAGATCTAACAGTATAGGATGTTTGGCTAAAAAAAAATCCAAATCTGAAGATTTGACATTATCTTTTGCATGCCTTAATTTATTTTGTTTACCAGACATAAATTATTTCATCAGTTGGAGATGTGTATATTTTTAATTTTGCCTTTTGCTTTGTGTTTTCTTTTGAGTTGCACTGTGTGAAAATGTAGAGCTGCTCCTCAGTAAGGGGCGTGACTGAGCCTCCTCCTCTGTACAGGGAGCAGGTCGGCCAGGCAACAGGAGTGTGTCCACATAGCAGGCCTTGCTGCAGGCTCGTGGTCTCATGACTGTACATTTTGTCTCAGATGTTTTTATTTTTACATTTTTTATGATTTTCTAAAGACTTAGTGCTGGACCATGTGATGAAGCTCTTCTTTGTACTGTACCATGTGCTGAAGCATGGCGGTGTGGGCTGGATGCTGTGAGTCTGGACGGTGGTGTTGTGAGTGTGATGGGCCACGATGAGAGAACCGTGGTGTCAGCTGATCTCAGCTGAGGCTTCGCTGTTCTTGAATGGCACCAAGTTTCATTTCTGAGTCAGTGTAAAGACGGAGATGGATGTTCAAGATGTTCACTGTTTTCCTCTGATGGTGATGTTACATCACAACTCTGGCCATGTTTCATATGGACCTTGTTTCCTTGTTTTAAACATGAGTGGAGCAGATAGATTAACAGAAAATTGATTGTTCATGGATCAATAAGAGCCAAATGTGATCATAAACTGAGGATCAGACTAAACAATCTAAAGACATCACCTGAATGTTATTGGTGAACCGATCAGTGGAGAAAATGATCAGACAAATGACTGAAGTTTGTGCCTCAACATCTCCTACAGTCAGGATATGTGTTGTTGATATCTGCAGACACACACACACACACACACACACACACACACACACACACACACACACACACACACACACACACACACACACACATAGACAGTGAACAGTAGATGGAGGGAAACAGGATCCAGGTGTGAAATGGTCAGAGTGATGTTTACTTAATGTTTAGGACGCTCAGGCTTTCTCCATGCTAACGCTGCAAACGCTTTTGGGAATGGCTGTTTTAAGGCCACGGTGGATACGACCATCACAACAACCCATCCTACCCCTCCCAGAAGTCTTTGCAGCAGTGATGTGAGCAGCCTGTGTGTTTACAGTGTTAGTGTTTCTTCAATAGAGTTGACCCTCGACAGTTTCTGGATCAGATGAGAGGAGATGGTCTGACACTGACAGTCACCTCTGTTACGTGTGGTCTGACCTGGTGACCTGGTGATCTTTGAGCTGTGTGGGTGCAGCTGGTGATTCTCCTGCTCTCCACCTTTCTGAGCACCAGACCACATGTTGACATGAGAGGAGAAGTCAGGCTTGTTTACAGGTCAGATTGAGGCTGTTCACTTCAGTGTTACTCATTAATGTTGGAGATCAGCTGGTTAGGGAGTGTATTCAGTGACCCCTCCTCCATTTCAGTACCTGGGTAACCTGGTCTCTACAGGTCCCACCTGTCCTTCCCTGATCTGACTCGGACAGTATTTACAGTGCAGTTTGAATGACTTAGTGTTTCAGTGAAGTCCACAACAAATAAAACCAGAGGCAGAGAGACTCTGAACTGTGGTCTTTCGTGAGTCTCTTCTTCCTCTTTGAGCCAGTGTCTCTAATAGAGCACCAAACCCCTGAAAACTACACTACCCATAATGCAACTCAAAGCATCTTTTGTTAGACCCACTGTGCCTGAGTAAAGCAGATTTCCAGTTTGTAACAGGCTTAGTTACAAGGTGTAGTCTCCAAGGCTACCCTGATGACATCACTATGACATCATCAGTGTTATTTTGTCTGGCAGAGCCCCCAGAAGTGGTGCTGGTAGTTTGACACAGTCACAAACTGACTCCATCTCTTTATTTCCTCTGTTGTTCACTGAGTAGCGTCTACATGTGACAGTGTTTCTCGTCAGAGGTCAGTGACAGGGGTCAGGATGTGGAGCATTACATCAGCCTGTTTACTTCAGTATGGATCCTCATGGATCCAAAGCCAAAACTCTGGTCCAGATGTTAAGTGCTTATCTCGTAAATAAATCTGATCAGTTTTCTAGTTAGTTCTCATACTTGGCTCTGAAATGTGGGGTCAGTGGGTCAGTGGGTCCAGGACCAGCTGAGGGTGGCTCCACCCACCTCCTCAGCCCTTTTTATCAGAAGTATGTGAGAGCGTTCAGATGGCATGTTCACCATTAGACATCTGTTTTCCATTTTGCAGTATTTATTTGTGCCTTGAGCTCTTTTTCTTTTGTCTTTGATTCTAACTGAAGAGATTAAAAATGGTTTTGTTTTACTGAACTTTCAATGTTTGTCCTCTTCATATGAGTCACATCCAGTCAGACTGAATCATGTTCATGATAAGGATCTGAAGGTGTCCACATCATGTATAATGATCCACTGTGACTGCCTGCAGATCATGTTCAACAAAAGTGTGGCCCACACTCACAGCACTGAACTGAGACACGCTTCATGCAGGTCACTTCATCTCTGTTGTCCAACAGAGCCACAACAATCACAAATCCTTCCGTCATCAACAACTATAAACACACTGCTGAAGCTGTGAGGCTAATCCACCACAAACTGTCCCCCCTAAACCTATTCTCCAGCACTGAGTCATCTTGGCCTCACACACACCTGTGAACAAAGTTATTTACCTCCACGACCAGCAGGTACACAGGCTTTGCTTTTGTGAACAGTGATACAGGCAGCTTAATGAGGAGTCACTGTTAAGAGTCATGTGATGTGTTCATTCTGGACCCCAGTGTTTGTCATTCTGTGGACGTTTGTAGCAATACAACAGTCTTTTATTTTCCATGTTCATCAATCACTTCTGATAATAATTAGAACCTGACTGATACACCCATAAACAGTGCACCACAGATGTGTGGACGTATGTGCTGGTAGACAGAACAATGTGCATTCAGAAATACCAAAGATGTTTGAGTCAATTAGTTGCTGTTGCAGGGTTTGTCCACTAGAGAGCACTAACTGCAGAGCGTCCTGCTCCATACCTCTGTCACTTTTCATTAATCCACATTAAAGGTTAAATCCAGGATTTTTGAACCTGGGGTTTTAGGTGTAAATAATTGACAGGGACTAACCTGCGGTCCAGGACTGATCAATAATGATGAATAACAGCTGCTGTGGTGTCATCAAACAGATGTTTCAGGTTAAACAAGGATCTGACTCTTTCACAGAAAGGCCTGTCTCTCTAGGAATCATCTCCATGTTAAAAGACACATAATAACAATCTGAACCTGTCAGTGCCAAAAGCAAACACTTTGAGTGGACAAACAGCTGCACCAGCTGTTTATCAGGTCACTGCTTTTACTCAGTATCGGACCGACCATCCCCATCAGTTATTTACACCCAAAAACACCCACGTTCAAATATCCTGTTAGTTTCCTTTAGTGAATCTCAAAATCAAAATACAGGAAATAAAAAAGATTAAAAAAAAAACACCAGAACATTTACCAGAGCCACGTCCTGCAGCCTTCATCTGCAGATGGAGACTGATAATAACATGATGACATCAGTAGAATCAATAAATCAGTAGGGTGGGGCAACTCCATGTAGGCAGGGCTTGAAATAATTAGAGAGAAAAATTAAAATGTCTGTGATAGTTCTCAAATCATTTCTAACTGTTCGGAGAACCGTTAGTAACACAATAGATGGACTGATGACAGAGGAGTATATCATGTAAATGAAGACGTTAGCCAACAGTCCATGTAATTGAAGGTGTTAGCTGTTAGCAAACAGTCCATGTAAATGAAGATGTTAGCTATTAGCTAAAAGTCCATGTAAATGAAGACGTTAGCCATTAGCTAACAGTCCATATAAATGAAGATGTTAGCTATTAGCCTAAAGTCCATTTAAATGAAGATGTTAGCTGTTAACTAACAGTCCATGTAAATGAAAATGTTAGCCATTTGCTAACAGGCCATTTAAATGAAGATGTTAGCTGTTAGTTAACAGTTCATATAAATAAAGATGTTAGCAAACAGTCCTGTGTCTCTGTTGTTAACAGTTCATTATGACCTGTTAAATCATAAATATTTAAATTGGCCTCTTTTTATTCTTTAAATATGAAAATACACAGGTTTATACATTTTTCATCATATAAAAATGCAGCTGATCATTAGTTAGTGAGTCGCAAACAGAGCAATATCTTAGTGTGTGTTTGGATTTTACCTGTTACCATCCTCCTGGTCAAACAAAGAGAGAACTTATTTCACAGTAAATGATCCTGGAGGAGCTTCAGGACGTGGATCAGAGACCTGGATATAAAGCTGTCTTGTCTCAGTGGTCATTTTCCTAACACAAAAATTCCTGGAGGCTCAAACAGCATTTTCCCACAAACCGCAGTGATAAAACAAACAGGATGTTAGCGCTCTGTTATTTGTAATCCAGGGAGATTTTATATTTGTAGAACCAGGGCATTTAAAAGTGATTATTACCTAAATTATAAAATACTCAACACAATATGAACACAAATCTAGCTCAGTGGTGTCTAGCTTTGAGTCTGGTAGTTCATTCTACCATGATTCAGCTGGAGCTGTTGTTGGTCTGCAGAGACACATCAGCTGTCGTGCTGCTGTATATGAAGCCAACAAGTAACAAGAACTTATTTAACAGAAATCACAAGAACTCTGCAAAATGTTACACTACAAGGTCCATTAACAGCTGTTCTGGAGCTTTCAGTTTTTATTTAGTGATCTTCTGCCTCCGCAAGAATTCATGACAACAGGGCAAACTTCTTCTCAACCCAAAATGTTTGAACAGAAAAAAAGAACCTCAAATATTTATGTAAAATTAATATTGTTTGATCGTCACATTATCAGTTTCAGTTGTTAAACAACTGAACAAACATCATCTGCCGATGAAGGCCACAAGGTGTGGTTGAGAGTCACGGAAACTTCCCAGTAAGTTGGACTTAGAGCTTCTTCTCTTTCTCAATAATGAACCCTGAAGCTCCATCATGGTGGAGAATCAGCTGATACTGATTTTGTATTGATCTCAGTAAAGACCCATCAGCTCTGCTGCGGTTGGTGTTTTCAGGCTGAACAACTGTGGGCGGAGCCCCTTCATGAAACCTACAATCAAAACAGGAAATGACCCAGGTGTCTTCACCTGTCGGTGTTTGACCACATGACTTCAGTCAGAGTCGATCCTCTGTCTCACACTGACTCATCCTGTCAACATCTTACTGTAGCACATACTCAGTTCCTTCAGTTTAGTTAACAACCCCCCCCCAGCACAGACACACACAGGTGTCACTGAACTGTTTAACATGGTGAAGCGTCGTTGACAGACCTCCTCAGTCTTTGGTCACAGTATAGAAACAGTCTGAGTCTGTTGTTGAACTGTTGAACTGTTTTTTTTCTTTGTCAACAGACAAAATAAACACTTCATTGCCATATTCTGAAAACACACCTGATGTTTGTCTCCTTTATTTCTGTGTGCTCAGAACACATTTTCCACGATGCATTAAATCTGATGAACAATAGAACAGACTCAGTTTCTTCACAGTCTTTTCTATGTCCTGATGATGATGATGATGAGGAGGAGCAAAAAGAGTAGTAGTAAAAGTATCTTCTTATTTGTGAAACATCTGAGAACTTCACAGGATGCTCCATGTTCCTCATTTTAAAGCTTCTGATGTTTCTCTTCTAAAATAAGCTGCAACTTAAAATTATGACTTTATTCTCATAGTATTATAGTTTTTTTTTAATCTTAAAATATTATGATTTTATTTTCAAAATGTCAGGTTTTCTTTTTCATCAATGTGGCCCTAATACTCTGTTGTACTTCACAACCTACATGAACAGTTTATATTGTGTGTAACAGGACACCAGAACGGGCAAAAGTGGAGGACATTTAATGTGTATGTTGTCAGAGAAAAAATATATTCTTCAGCCTGTCTCAATTCAGTGTTAAAAGCTGGTGTTCAGTTTTTTCACAGTCAACAGATCCCATAAAAAACACAACTACAAACACTACAAATAAATAAAGGTTCTTTAAACAATCGTCACCTTTCCTACAGAAGGTGTCGCTATAAACAGTTCCCCTGTTGACAGAAGAGGAACAACATAATCCAGACACAACCATTAGGCCCAGAACATGCATCCTGTGTGGTGTGTGGTTGTCTCATCTATTGGACATGTGACACAGAACATCTGTTGATGTCATACCGACATCATACCAGCAACATGACATGAAACTGACACCTCTCACCACAGTATCAGTGCCCAGGCTGAATCTGAATATGACACTGACATGAAAAAATGAAGAATTAAAGTGTTGGTAGACATTATCAAAGTCAATAAAGACACTGGTGGAGCCAGTGAAGACTATAAAAACTTTATGGATGTTATGATGGCCCACTGGTCGACCAGGATTTGAGCTGGAAAGTTGCTCTCACCTGAACACTGCGTACTGCACTGTGACATCTCACCTGTGTGTTTATAAACATGGGGAGGACCAATGGTTTAACAGGATGGACTCATGTGCACTAACATGCACACACTACTAGACCAGCTAACAAAACAAAGACCAAAGAAACTCAGATTATAACACACGCAGAGGGGGTGTGGCTTCGTTCTCTGCTCAGGATGCCATTACTCCTCTATATCTTTACATAGGAAATAATTGTTTGCTGCTGTATTAGTATTTAAAATTATGTTTACAGAAAAAAACACCTCATTATTACATAATTTAATCGTTTACAAAGGCTGAGTAATGAAACAGCTGCTCACCGTAGTTTTTCATTTAAGTATCTCAAACAGGAGGAAATACTGCATTTGCTGGGAACAATACTCATTGGCAGATTAATCCACATTTTGTGCTGTAGAGAATATCTTTGGCAGTGGGATGGTGTGTTTCTTGGACCAAGTCAGAATAAACTACAGTGTGTGTTCATGGTAGTAAGGAACATGTCACCCAGAGCAACAGTGAGACTCAGTGATGTGCTTTTAATGTTTTTTGGAAACAGTGGAGCACAGAAGACAAGAAGAAACAAACAAAAGATGTCATGCCTTATGCAGCTCACTGTCCCGATCCCTCAACCAGACAATAAACATCTGCGGTGTGCTGTGTGTCACTGGTGTGCATCGGTGACCACGGCTGTTGTGGTGTAGGAGTATGGGCTGAGGAGCAAGGCCAAGGTATAGTGACGATGTCCTTCAGCATGGGCCTCAAATACCACCTGCACACCCACACACACACACACACACACACACAGGGTTAGTGTTTTACAGTTTGTTAGTTTGCTACAACAGTAAGTGATTCTGAGTTTTAATGAGTTTTAACATAATCAGAGCATGAACTGGAAATGTTTTAATTAAAACAGTTAACTGTTAAAAACACTGAATAAAGCAGTTTGACATTTAAAGTCAGTGTTTGACTGACAGGGAAGAGTTGGAGCTGAGATTGATGCTAACCTTTGTTCTGACTGTTTCTCTGATAACTTATGAACCAGATGTTCAGCAGGTTAATACCAGCAGCTGAATTATCCACAGAGGTGTCCTCTCCATAACAAACACACCAGCTGATTGTGTGCGTGTTCTCTGTGTGTGTGTGTGTGTGTGTGTGTGTGTTCTGTCTGTTCTCTGTGCGTGTGTGTTCTGTGCATGTGTTTGTGTGTTCTCTGTGTATGTGTGTGTGTGCTCTGTGTGTGTTGACAGTGTAAATACTTTTGGCTGGTTGTGTAGAGGCTGTTTCAACTCGTTTTAGTTTATACAGTGATTGTCCTCTGGTGGGTGGAGCTAAAACACAACACAACTATAAATATACACTAACTGTAAAACTAGAGCACCTCATGTGGTTTTTGGCCTGTTGTGTTGAGACTAATTCATAGATAGATGACAACTTAATTTACATAAAATGCTTTCTGTTTGATGAGTATTTTATCACTTCAAACAATTTTTTTTTTCCTGGTTTAGTTTTATTATTAATAACTTTATTTTTATTTATTTTTTTTCTCTCTCTCTCTAGTACTGTACTCTTTTAGTTCAACATTGTTAAGCTAATTATCTGGGTGGGGGTTGCTGAACATTACATAGTTGTTGGGACTCACAGAGCCATTGCAGTCCATTCAAGATGATGGAGACAACTTCTTGTTTTGTTCCATAGACAAAAGAAGGCCTTTTGAACTGCATTCTCCACAGTCCTTAATTGCTTGATTTTTTTGGTCATTGTGTGAAATGTGACCCAAGTTGTCACCAGACAACAAAACCTGCTATGCACCTCTCTCACGCTCTTCGCTCCCTGGTTTGTCCAGGATCAACACCTTCTCTCATCCTCTCTTCTCTCTAGCCCTCTCCAGGAGCAACAAGGCTCCAGCACCAGGTTAGCACTGGTGCTACCTGGAACATCAACTCTCCTCTGCAGGCCTGCTCCACTTCGTAAGAAGAACAAAGGAGCAACCATCAGCATTCATTAATTTTTTCCCTCATCAATCTACACTCAGTACCCCATGAGATTGGGTCTCTTGTCTCTCCCTTGTGTTGATCTACATGAGAAGTAGACATTATTTTACCACAGACAGGTGGACTCCAACCATGTTGGAAAAACATCTGAGAGATGATCAAGAGAAATGGAGGAAACTGAGCTAAACTTCAACTGTAGTAAATTAAAGTAAATGGTCTCAACACTTATCTCAGTGTGATATTTAAACTCTGTTTTCAATTCATCATTAAGGGGTAGTGAGTGTAGATGATGAGGAAAAAAAATTAAACTTGTTTTGCATCAGACTGCAATATAACAAAATGTGAAATGATTGAAGGGGTCTGGCTACTGAATAGATTCTCCCACTAGTGTTGATGTATATGAGAGGTTGACATCATTTTACTATACACTTGCTCACCAAATGAAGTTTTCACAGGTGGAGTTAAGCCCTGGGCCAAAATCTGTACACAGGAGCACATACAGATCTGATTCTTATGGACGAGGCCAAGGTAATGCCCCAGAAGTCTTTCCAGCCCTGGTCAATGACATGTTACGACTTTCTGAATCGCTTGATTTTCTCCCAGAATCTGTCTGAACGTGTTCCTCATGTCCTTCAGGTGCTACAGGCCTTGGCTTGCTACAGGCTAGTCAAGGCCAAGGTGAAGATAGACCTGGAACAGGTCAGGGTGTTGTCAGAATGGCCACAACCCACCTCAAGGAAGGAGCTGCAGACATTCCTAGGCTTCACTAACTTTACCACAGATTCATGAAGGACTTCAGTTAGGTTGCCGTCCCCCTTACCAAGCTGATCTCCACCTCTTTCTCATGGACACCAGAGGCTGATTAAGTCTTTTATCTCAGTCAGACGCACTCCAGGCATCCTGGAGTGAAATATGAATGGATCTTTGCCGAGATTTTGTAGCCAGTAAGCTACGGAACACAAGCATACCCGCTGTATCAGGACGGGGAGAAATGGATGAAATGTCGAGAGAAGTGATGCAAATAAGGTCACTCAATAGCCAGCAATGGACTTCTCATGATGATATTCATAACCTGGAATACTTTCATGAAAAACCACGTTTGTGATCTGTGGACCCTTGCGGACTAAAGGAATATAAATAATGGAAGAATGAAGAGACAATAGGACTTCTAAATATCCTCAAAGGTAGGGAGTCACCACCACTTCACTGGTTTTACTAGTTATACTAGTTTATAATACTGATAGGTAATAATGCCGGTGATCCGGTGGATTCAAAGGGATTCATACTCACATCAGCTACTTCATGGAACGGTGTGCTCCCCTCGCTCTTCCAGTAAGCTTTGGTATCAAACTCAACACGATACACCCCTGCTGGAAACTGCTCCTCTGTGATCAGATTATGGATCTCTCCAGCGGCGTCCGTCACTCTGCAGTAACAACCAGTTAAATCTGACTTATTAAACATATAGTGAGCAGAGACCTATGCTATATTCTACCTCACATCTCATACTGTACACACCCATTAGCAATCTGCGTCCATCCCCCATCAGCTTCCCTCTGAGACACCTTGAGAGGCACTGATCCAGCTGGAGTCCCTTTTACTGCATCCAGGATCTTCACCATCAGAGGACACTTAGTGTCTGAGCCCCCATGTTTCTCCTGCAGCAGACACAAGCCAGGACCACACTGTATCTTCTTGTGGTCACAACATCAGCTCTCACATATACACACATCATATTACAAGGACTCTCCACTATTCAGTGGACTTACTATAACTACTAAAATACTGTAACTGTAATGTAGTCTCAGAGTGTTGCTCAAATCAGATACTTCAGTCAGTATACTCACATGTACTACATGTCGTATATCTAGTGCATGTAGTACATGTAGTACGCAGTACACTCACTGATGTAGTGCATGCATTTCGACCGTGTTGTCTCAAATCAAACTCTGCTGTTGTACACTCACAGGATATGACGTTCACAACATGTGACTATGATTGTTACCCACCTGTCAGCGGCTTTGCTTCTGTGTGTGCCCTGTGTCATATGACATAGAATTACAATGAAATTACACTGCCATCGTCACTGACGACGTTTCCTCCTTCGTCAGACTGTATTGAATCTAGTTTGGATCTAGTTTGAAAATACATTGGTCGTCCCTCCCCCTCTGCTACGTAGCCAAGACCGTGACCATTGAGGGTGAGAAGTGTCCATTGTTTTACACTCAACTTGTTGACTGTTTTGAGTGAACCATCTGTGTACTTACAGCTCACTGCATGTTGCTGTACTTGTCAATGTCTGATAAATTGTGCTGTAAACACACGGTCTGTAACTTCTCTTTGGGCTTTGGGTGACGTCATGAATAAGCGTGGGATCATTGGAGTTGTTGTCTTCACCACCATTACCAAAAGCTCCTCCGGGTTTGGATTCCTGCAGTGTCAGTGGTTGAGGAAATCAAACAGACTCTGTGATTATAACCGTTAAAAACACTGAATAAAGCAGTTTGACATTTAAAGTCAGTGTTTGAGTGACGCTGTACTGAGGACAGAGACGTCAGGGAAGAGTTGGAGCTTAGATTGATGTTAACCTTTGTTCTGATTGTTTCTCTGATAACTTATGAACCAGACGTTCAGCAGGTTTTTACCAGCAGCTGAATTATCCACAGAGGTGTCCTCCTCTCCATAACAAGCACACCAGCTGATTAAAACCAGTAGAAACACCCAGAAAGCAGTTGGACTTTAAAAACCACAGATTCACAGACGCTCTTCAGTGACACAGGACAGGACGTCTCCAGCAGCTGGGAGCTAACATCAGATCCAGACGTCCAATGTATAAAAATCCTTCATCTGGTGCAAATATAGAATTGAACACACTGGAGAGACTATAGAGTTTTCTACTTATCTGATTTTGAGGCGAATTTCTCTTCTTCATCCTGTTTGCCTTGTCTGAGAGCTATCTCTCTTTCTCTCTCTCTGTGTTCTGTGTGTGTGTTTGTGTGATCCCTGTGTACGTGTGTGTGTTCTCTGTGTGTGTGTTCTCTGTGTGTGTGTCTGTGTGTGTGTGTGTGGGTTCTATGTGTTCACTGTGTATGTGTGTGTGTTCTCTGTCCGTGTGTGTGCTGTGCATGTGTTTGTGTGTTCTCTGTGTATGTGTATGATCATAGAGGATATGATGTCATTGACAGGCGACCAGATGAAATGGAGTGTTACCATGATTAAAATCACAGATTTCTCTGGTTCGAGAATTAATGGAAACATCTAATGTAAGAACACAACTCAACAACATATAGATTATAGGTCTAGTTGTTTTTACACATTTTAATGGGGAAAAGTTACAGATTATAACTTTAATTACTCACTCAACAAAAAATAAAGTTAGATGTTAAAAGAGAGTGAAATGATCTTCAATCAGTGGTATTCATTAGTAGCAGTACACTAAATTCATTCACAGCTAATGCAACATAAAACAAATGTGAGCATTTTTCATTCTTCATGTCAAGAGCTCAGAGTTCGCAGGTCAATCTAAACTGAAATCATCTGTCCTTCACTGCTTCATTAATACTTCAGCTTCAGACTTTAGCCTTAAAATTTCATTTATTTTGCTCAGTGAATTCTCAGTGAATCTGCTGTTATCTCTAGTGTTTACAGTACATTGGAGATGAGGAGACACTCAGAGAGTGAACCACCTACAGGCAGGTCAATGAACTGACTTCTGCTTCACTAATCGATCTGGTCAACGGGCCAGAAGTTTCTCTGTGAGCAGTTCAGTCAGGACCTACCATGTGTTAGTGTTAAACTGAGGTAAAGACAGAGAGCAGTATCTGTTGCACTAACAAAAAAATTTAGTTCACCTGGAGCTCACTTTATATTAATTACACTCACATACTGTATATAGAGGTCATCATTACTTACACCTCCATATCATACACCATACATGTGTCATTTTAGTTCTGTTGGTAGTTAAATAAACATTTAAAACCTTTAGTGACTGACTGAAGATGAGGTTACAGCATGAACCTGAACAACACAGTTTTCTTGTTCTTGTTCTATCGAAACATTGTACAGGTCTTCAGATTAATAATTGTGTTTCTAATTATTTAGTAACAAACTCAGATGAACACATGTACACACACAGACACTGACCGTGGGGGCGGTGTAGCAGAGCAGCACAGCAGAGGCTAGGAGCAGACAGGACAGTGGGTGAAGCATGGTGAGCTGATGGTGTTCACATACCACCTCCAGAGTCTCAGGGCTCTTATAACAGCCTCACCCCTCCCTCACCCGCTCTGCTGTCAGCTCTGTGGACCACGTCAATACCTGGACAATGAATAACTCAGACTGAATCAGCTCTGGACCAAACCAGTGAATACCCTTCAGCAGTCAGTCCGTTCAGCCACACTACAGTTATTTCATCCAGTGTCCACACACATCAACCTGTAAAACACTGTGAGAGGACGCTGTCCAGGGACCCTGTTGTCCAACAAGAGGGAGGGAGGAGGGTTAAGTGAATCATTGCTCTGATTGAATTCATTATAAACTGTGTTGGGACTCATCAGACTATCAGAGGACGTCAGTAGAGTAGGCGGTCCTTCAATGTGTGAATCTGCATGGTTCCCTGCTGTTGCTGTGCTTTTCTTCAGGGCTGCAAACCAAATGAAGACCTAAATCAGCAGCATGGGACACACCTAGGCCCTGTGAGCTCCATGGATATAAGCCAGGGCAGCAGCAGCAACAATCAGTGTTGGCAGATCTCCTCATCACACACACACCCTGTGCTGGGGTGTGTGGCTTTTTTTGGGCTTTTTCCTTTGTTTTTACAGCACAACACCCATGCAGTACATTTTCACTGAGCCACTCCCTACATGGCTGACTTTTACAGATTCCTCCCATTGGCAACAGTCAGAGCCAGAGGCATATTGATTTCAGGTTGTCTGTCCGACGTCACGTACGTCCGTACATCCCATTTTCGTGGCCTTGACAGAACTTCTTCACATTTGGCACAAACATTCACTTAGACTCAAAGACGAACTGATTAGATTTTGGTGGTCAAAGGGTAAAGTCAGTGTGACCTCACATAACACTTTTTAGCCATTACTCAAGCCTTCACAACAATTATGAGAACATTTCACACAAATGGCTCATATTTTATGACTGAATAAACAGGAATGTAACATGAAACTAGTCTGATTGGTGGAGGCAGACAAATGTAAGGTGGCAATTCAGTTTTGTAAATAAATTGGTTTGTTACTAAATATACCTCTGTGTCTTCCATTTATTGTTGAGGTCAAAGAGCTGGGCTGTAAAAAGTAGGGGCTTGTCCAATTTTTTGTGTGTTTTGTGGCTTGTGTGTTGAGGCTTGTCTGCCAGGTGGTAGCTATACTCTGGGGTTTTTGTGGCATAGGTAAGTACTGAATGTCCATTGCATGTTTGATTTTGTTTATTTGGAGCTCACTCCCTGTTAGGCTGTAGAGTGGGAATTGGAATTCACTTGGGGTGAATTTATAGTTTGATAGCAGACGTGGTTAGAGCATTTGTCTAGGGGGCACATGCAGAGGATCACTGGTTCTCTGGTTGCATGGCCAGGCTGCTAGCACGCAAGTACCCACCATAAGTGGCTACCTGTAGACTGGGAGGAGGCTAGCTAGTTTAGGTTAGGCAGTGAAAGGGAAGGGCTCCGTTTCTATTTAATGTGCATTTGGCTGTCTCTCCGCTCCTGTGTTAGTGCGTAACTGCACGCATGATTGTTAGTTTTGCTGTGCGTAGAAGTGTGTGTTTTGCTTTTTGTTTTTGGAAGGCTCTTTGTCTGGATATGGCAGGAGTTGAGGATTTTTAGAAAGCTCCATCTGAGGAGTTTTCGGAGCACTGAAGTTGAGAGCAGCTGTTAGGCAATTTTGAAGGTTATACTTGTTTGAAAATGGTGTTTTCAAACTTGAGACATGCCCTGTTTTGCCTGCTCCAGCTGTTGCTGATTTAAATCTTGACTTTTGAGCAGCAAAAGGAAATGCTGTTGTTACAGTTAGAGCACCTTCAGCAACAGGTAGACAGGGAGAAGTTGGCTGTTGAGAAGATGAAGCATGAGACAGAACTTAAAGCACTTGAGTTAGGACTGTATAAATTTAGTCTCGTGATGGTAAGGTCGCAGCTCAGTTTTGAAGGTCGTACCTGTATCTCCAGACTTATAACCATTTGACGTGGCTGGAAATTTGCATTTGGTCCCAAAGTTTTGTGAGAGTGATCTTGACCCTTTCTTTTCGTTGTTTGAGCAGGTAGCTGACAGTAGGAATTGGCCTGATTCAGAGCGTACAGTGTCGTAATGTGTGTTAACAGGCAAGGCTCAGGAAGCTTACTGTTCCCTTCCAGAGAGTGACAGCCTGAGCTGTCCTTTGAAAAGGTGGCTGTGCTGAAAGCATATGAGCTGGTACAAGAAGCTTACAGACAGTGTTTGACAATGTGAGAAAACTCAGGTAAACAGACAAACATGTTTGCAAGGGAGTTGATAACTAATTTTAATCAGTGGTGCTCTTGAGGTTGAAACATTTGAGGACAATTTAATGGTTTTGGAGCAGTTTAAAAGTTCTCTGCCAAATAATGTTGCTACCAACATTAATGAGCCTAAAGTCAAAACTGCTGCACTGAAGCTAGACCACTTCCTTAGCTGTAGCTTTTACCATCAAAGCTGTGTGACAAGATCCCTAATTTCAAAAGGACAGATTCCAGTTTTTGAATTATTGTGTCTTTTTGGTTCATCAGCTGCAATCAAATCTTGACAATCTAAGTTAGAAGTCATTTCAATGTCTTTTTACCGTATATGCTCCTACTCTTAAGCAATTTGAAAGTAGCATATATTTAAAATATATTAAAAGAACAGTTGTGAAACATACCAGTTACTGGTTCATAACGCCTCAGATGGTTGTTGACATGAGAAAAGATGATATTTTACTTCCAGGACATTAAAGGTAGTTAGTACGCTTAACCCTGTGGAGGCTGTGGTTTGTGGTGGTGCTGTACACTGTATTGAAAACACTATTATTATTTTATTATTATTGACAGCAATGAGCAGCAATGCGATAATGATGAATAGATGTTTGAATAAAATATGTGACTTTGATATAATGATATAACAAGCACATTTTGAAAAGGCATGACTCATGTATTATAAACACCTGTGCTGAAAGTTTCATATTGTTTTCTACCAGTAGGTGGAAGCAGAGTGTCAACACCGTTAGAAACCTGTTCTGTCCAGGTTGTATAAAGGTTTCCACTCTCACGCTTCAGCAGTTCAGACACTGTTTGTCTGGCTACTTGTTTGTCTGCCTTGACCTTTGTTTTGACTGAACATCAGCTGATCTCACAGTTCACCCAGCTCCATTTAAATTTCAACTGAGCTAATAAACACAAAACCTGTACTGTCTTTGTTTTCATCAAAGAAATAAAGTTAAAGACACAAAAAGGATGGAAAAAACAAACTACAGTTTAGCTGAGATTAATCCAAATTCCTCTGGTATATCTGTCCACAGTCATACTGTATATATGTACTGTATATGGACCAAGTGTTAATTCAAGTATCAAAGTGGTTCATTTTTGTCCTGTAATAAATCACAAAAAAGGACACTTATGAAAACTGATTGAAATGTATTACAGACATGCCAATAGTAACTAGGGCTGAATGATAAAATTTAATATTATTAAAAAAATCAACATGGCCAATTGAAGGGACAGGACAGGAATGAATAAAATGTGTCAGTACACTTCACATGAAGCATTGTGGTGTTACAGTTACTCCAGCCTTCAAATCATATTCTCAAGATGTCAGGGAACATCAGCTAAAATCACTTCATCATCATTTTTATATCTGTCCCAGTGAAAATGAAAAAAATCTATATCCTCATCTAAATATAACATTCAAACAACAATCAAATAACAATCAAACAAAATCAAATGACAATCAAATAATCAAAAAACAATCAAACAATCAATTTACAATCAAATAACAATCAATCGAATCTCAATCAAAAACACCTGACAACCTTCAGGAACATGGCTCTCTAGTACATTACACCAGGTTCAAGTGTATTGTACTATAAACAGTATGAATACATAAAGGATACAAGACTTCCCAGGCTGTTAATACCACAGATGACCACTTTTTAAGGTACACCTATATGATCACGAATACCATAGCCACAACACTCTCTCTCTCTATCTCTCTAACACAACCGGTTGAGGAAGATTGCCCCACCCACCCTGACTCTGGTTCTTCTCAAGGTTTCTCTTAAAAGGAAGTCTGTCCTTGCCACTGTTGCCTACTGCTGCTCTTGGTGGGAATTGGACTCTGTAAATAATATTATAAAGAGAAGGTCTGGACCTGCTGTATTTGATAAGTGCCTTGAGATGTGCCTTATGTTGTGGATTGGTGCTATAAAAATAAAAATTGACTTAAATTGACATGACTAAATGACAACATAAAAACACTTCACATGTCCGTTGATGTGGCTAGGCTAACCAGCTAGACTAGCTACTCATGCAGCCTAAGCAGCAGCAGCCTGAAAGACACAGTGTTCACTAACGTTGAGAGGAAGCCAGACGTATTTACCAAATACCCTCCTGACCATTAAAGCCATGCTGCTATGCCATGTGCTAGCAAGACATGATGCACATGCTAATCCAATTTCACCAACCTCTCAAATTGTAACTGCTAAAACAATCATATTTATTTTTGTAAAACAATTTTGAAATGAATATGCTTACTATATATATACTTGTACTTGTTACCTTGTAACTTTTCAAGCCTGCTCAGGTGAGTCCACGGTCAGACGATAGTGATGAAATGGTGTTAGACACATAGCCTCCTGAATAAATAAACTTTTTTTTGCCTCTGCACTCTTTGGTGGTCAAAGGTCAAAGGTCAAGGTCACGGTGACCTCAGAAAACACTTTTTAGCTAGTACTCAAGACTTCACATAGCAATTATGTCAAAGTTTCACACAAACGGTTAATACTTTATTTGATTCTGGATAAACATGGATATAACCTGAAAGTAGTCTGAGTGGAGCAGGCAGGTAATTCTACTTATTTCATATATTTCACTTACATTATACTTTAAAATATTGTTTAGTGTCCATGAGAGTGTTTTGGATGAGAGGGGAACACATCTTCAAGAAACACCAGAGGGTCATGATATCTCTGAGAGTATTCACAGGCTGTTTTATGTAACTGCCATTAAAGGTGTGTTCTGTGCTGTTCTGCTTTAA